GTTTCGGTTGTGTTGCGATTCAACTTATCGATGATATTTCAATTGGAAATGATTTGAATTCTATTGGATAAAATGCCGTACGTTTTTAATTATCTGTAATGCCAAAAGCAAACAAAATTTCATATAATATAAGTCAAATACATCTTTTCCACTCATCATACACAATTTCGATTGGGAGTGAATACGGAAGCGGTAAATTGCATTGCTTTCTTGCGTATGGAATGTATACAGAAGAGTAACTTTAACGGGATTTATGAATATTACTTCGTTGTTTGCACCGAGATTTGTGGGTGTATTTCATAATTTCACACACAGAACATGGTAAAAAAAATGATGTATTGAGTTCATTTGGATGGGATGTTATGGAAGCTGCTTGGTAACGGCAAGCGCACCAAACACAAACAATATCAACCACATCTCTTTTGCGCGTGAATCAAGAACTGCGTAAATTGGGGGAGAAATTGAGAAGCGTTTCATCGTAAATATTACGATCCGTACGAAGGGAGCGAAACGTGTGTACTGTGTAGCAGCACACTAATGCAAATATAGTCACTATGTTTTTCTAAAAAAGAGTGCATGTGATACAAGAGCGTGTGCATTTCGGCGTAAATTGTTTTTTCTGTTTCAACTTGCCATCAATGATTGCTCGGTCGATTCCAGCCCTCGTGCGATGATGAACTTTGTTTTTATTTATTTATGAGGTTTTCACAGTTTTCTCAATGAATATGATTATTGCCGCATTATATGCTATGATTCGCCCTCTTACATGCAGCACACGCATTTTCAATATTCTGTGTTGTCGGTTTGTTGTTATGACTATTTATTTGATTATTAAATAAGATTTGGTGTGACTTGTGCACGGTCGGTCGAAACATTTCAAATAAGACAGTCGAGCTACAATTTTGGCAACAGAATCAAGTTAACTGATTTTGTATTTTATTGGGATTTATGTCATTTGGTGTTTGTTTGTTTTTTGTGTGTGTGTGATATTCGAATAGCGGTTTCAGACACGCGAACGCGGTTTACAATCAGTGAATAAACCATTTATAAGTTAAAAAAAATTCAAATTAATGCAAAAGAACAATTCCAAAGTACGAAATTGCGTTGAGCCAGTGCATGCACAACGCACGGATTTACTGCGTTGACACTTATTAAACTTTGGTCTGATTTAATGGTCTATCGTGCATTTATGTCGATATCCCTTTCTCTGTAATCGTTTATTCGACTTTCGTTTGTCGAAATTTAAATATTTCAGTGCAGAATGATTGATTAAACGCTAGCAAGGGTGAACAAAATATTTTTGTCATTCTTTGCTCATTTATCGTAATTACAATTCATTAAATATTCGGACAAATGGACTGCAGTGAATCGACATAAACTCTCTCGAACAATTTAAGAATATTCATTTCACAAACTCGCCGAAAATACTGCGAAATAACTAAGTAGCAATTTGCTTGAAAACCACAAAAATGGTAGCTGCTAACTGCTGCAAAATATATAAGAAGAGCACTAAAAATCCCTGGATGTATTCACATTATAAAATGCATGAGAGGGATCAAAAATATCTGTACAATAAAATGCGCATCATCAAGAACGAAGTGCTTATGTTGTTGGTTTTCGACAGGAAGCTAGGAAAATGAAAATCGGAAAGTCGTTATGGATATGGCAAAAATCATAAGCAAAGTATGAAAGAAGCACACGCCTGCAATCATAATGTGGAAACCATTTCCATGAGCATCTATTCCATTCTCTCGTTTCTTGTGAAAATGAGTTGATTCCGGTTCCGGTGTTGTTTTTATGAAGTGTTTGCCGCTCATGTTGACATGCTTCCCGAACTTTTGCTACGACATTGCATACGAAATATACTTTTAATAGGAAGGAACGTTTGCATGTTAATAGTCTTTGAAAAAATCTCATTCTTGCGAAACGTTTAACGTTTTTATCTCTCGCTAGATTACAGTTTGTCCGACTAAATCTTTCAAATCGTAGCAATGTTACAGCATGTTGGAAAAAATACTCGCCGAAATAAAAAAAAAGTAAAATTCGGTTGAATACATTTTTCTGAATAGTTTGTGTCGTTTAGTGCAATTTATTATTAGCGCATCTTGAAAATAGAATCTTTTGTATGAATATCAATATTATTCCAAATGTCACAAAACAATCGATAACATCTTCATAGAATCAGCAACAAACAAACAGGAAATAAGTGAAAAAAACCCGATGCTTTCAATACAACAACATAAAAAAGCAATTCGAGTACACGCACGTTTGGCATGAATGGCATGGAAAGAGAATGCGGCAAAGCAAACAAAAAGAAAAGAAGTCGTCCATTTTATTTCTCGTTTTAGGAGGCAGTTAATAATGTTCGCTCATTCACGCACACTTTGAATTTCTGTTGACCAGTTCGCCATTCGCGAACATCTTCTTTCACTTGGATAATATCCTTGATTGTCATCGGTGTCGAACGTGCTCGACTCTTTATTGCATTTTTGCCGGTTTTTTCTCTTCTCTTCTCCTTTTTATTGCGTGAATAAATTTTCGTTCGCTTCGTTTGCGCTTCGAATTGTCTTCCTTTGTTTTTATTGACTTCAATTCAATTGTTACTTTTTCATTCAACTTTCAAACTGGCTACGTTTTTTTTTATTTCGAATAAAATCTCTCAATCGGTGCGATTGTGATGGAATGCCTTACGAATAAAACAATGTAATCTTTCGTAATTATTTTATTGACGAAGAAATTCTCTTGCCAATACGTGTGTCGTATTAACGAAATCTGTTGAGTCACTCGAGATTTACACGCACATATTACTTACGAGTTTGAGTTTTTTTTTACTCTAAAGGCAGCTTTAGCATCGAAGAGTCGTTTTTATAAAGTTTATAGTTTGGAATTGCTCTTAAAAAATTGAATCGAGTTTTCTTTTCGAACGAAAAATTGTGACATGCAAGCAAAATGGATCCAATCACCATTGAATTGCAATATACATTCATCCCACGCATAATCACGTTGCCATCGTTCACCAAGTTGGCTTCATTTAGACTGAACGGCGCAGAATACAACTCCCATCCACCAAATATGCACGTTTGTATGCATACGTTTGCAAAAAGACACAAATAATTAGCGTTGAAAAAAATTCACCTTCAATGTAAGGTATTTGGATATCATCCGGTAAAACACGTGTTTTCATAACTTTTTTTAATTCCTGTGATATCATGGTTGGAACAGAGCATTTTCTTAGTTTTATTTCTCCAACTAAAAAAATGTTGATGGGCATAAGGCCTGTTTGAAAACAAGCAAGGAGAGAGGAATATTCAATTTCTTTCGAGATGCTAACGGATTCGTTTTTTCACTGAACTCAACGAAAAAGGGAGTGTAAAAATTAATGAATGCAGCGAGACATTGGAAAAAATGAGAATCGATATTGTCGCTTTGAAATCAATGATTCTGTTTTCATATTTTTTGTTCGAAAAAGGTCGAAATCTGAACGCGTTGGCCATAAATAACATTAAAATGATATTTTAATATTCACCTGCACTTTGTTTTTCATTCTGAATTCTGGCGAGAGTCATTTGAATGGAACGAAATGCGACAAATACCATACACATTACACAAATGTAACAAAAAGAGAAAGAATCAAACCTTTTCGGTCATTGGAAATGGACAAACGATTTTTTCTCGTTTTGTTTGTTATTATTTATTGAATTATCGAGTATTCGTTTCTTTTGTATATCGAATGATTCTCTTCTCTCTTTTTCTTTGTCATTTTTCATGGCTATTTATTGTCTGCGGTGTAAATGTGTGTATGTTGTATAAAATGTCATAATATATAATCGATGTGTACCAGTGTACCTGATTCCTATCGAAAAAATTTCAATATATTTTCAATTTTGAACATTATATTCAAAACGCAAGGTTGTATCGAACTATACTGGTCAACAAGCGATGTACAGAATCAATTTCAAAAGAGAGCATAAGTATGAAAAACAACAACAACTTCATACTGTATTACATAATTTAATATAAAGGTATATTTATGCATCTCATTGTTACTCACTATTCTGACACAACTTTACATTTTTATTGAAATTCAAAAGCGTATATTCACAAGTCAGAATTAACATGAAGTTTTTCGATGGTGATTTGGCATATTGCAATGCATGAAGCGTGACATTTGTCATCATAGATTTCAGAATTTTACTTTCGATTTTGAAGAGAATTATTGAAAAAGAGAAAAAAACAATAAAAAGACGTAATACGTTTTTGTAAATTGAAATCTAGCTGGTATTGCTGACATAGTTCTTTTAATAATTGATAAAATTTAACCCATTTTCGTCGATTTTGCGATCAGCACTTTTAGGAACTGATTTCAAGAGGAATTTTTTCTGGTGAAAGAAAATGGTGATGATGATTTTGATATTTGTCCAAATTTTGTAAGTTTTTCGATTTCGAAACTCTTGTAATATTTGAAAAAGTCTTTGGATTATATAAAAAAATACAAAATATTTCTATAACGACGGACAGTGGTTAACTTTGTGAATATTTTTCAATTGAAAATGTTTGGAAGCAAGGTCGTGAAATATAGCCGATTCATGCTTATATGAAAAATACTGACATCCAGAAATACAAAAAGAAAAATCTCCAGAATTCAGCAAGTTAATAAACCACCTTCACTAAAAAAGATGAAATGTTATAATTTTTGCTTTAAATCTTTGAATCTTTATTAAAATATATAGTTAGAACAATACATTTTTAAACAGTCTTTTCATATCGGACTTCATAAAATGTTCGTAAAAAATCACGCGATAAAGATGAGTGTATCAAAGTCTAAAATGGTACGATTTTTTGTAGTCTGTGGCACAAAATCGTAACAAGTCATTTTTAATAATAAATATCAAATTGGTTTTGTATAAATAGTACCATACATCTGCAAACTATCATCAGTGCCTTATGCAGCCTTATGGCCGTGTCTCAGATCTTATTCTTCGAATGATCAGTAGAAAATGTATCAAAATGAAGAATTTCGTCGTTTTCATAGCAATTTGCTGTATTATTGGACTGTCGGAGGTAAAGATCTCGAAATATTTCAAATTTGATACAATATTTGAATTGTTTTGCTTTTAGTCAATTTCAAAAGAACAAAGAATGGAAATGTTTGTGAAAGTGGCAAAAGAGTGTGCGGAGGAAGAAGGTGCATCGGCCGTTGACGTGGATGAGCTTGTTGCACACAAATCAGCAAGTGAAAAAGGTGGAAAATGTATTCGAGCTTGCTTAGCGGAGACTGTCGGAATGGTGGGTCCAATTATTCTAATACTTCAAACGGAACTGTAAAATATTTGATTTCAACTTTTCAAAAAGATAAAAGACCAGGTCGATATTGAAGGCGTTAGTAATCTCGCAGCAATGGCATTTGATGGCAATCCAACGAAAATACAAGTGGCAAAGAATTTAGCTAACGAATGTGCTGATATAACAGATCCAGACCGTTGCGAAGCCGCAGCCAAGATTATGGAATGCGGTCAAAATGCCGCTAAAAGTCGGGGGCTAAACTTCGAAGATTTAAATAATAATTAGCATTAAATGTATAAAATATGGAATAAATTCAAATGAAATGCATGGATGAAATATAATAGACTGATTTTAGAAAATTACTTGAAGAAATTATGCTAGCTTTATAAATTCTTTTTATTATTATTTTTATTTGGAGTAGTGATTCTTGTCAAATAGTTTATCAAATCTGAACCTGGCAAGAGAACTTTTAAGCTCGCAACCTTTATTCAAACAGAAAAAATTCTTGCCATTGCTGTAATTTCGAAATTAACTCAATTGAAATACTAAGAGATTTAAAAAAATATGTGTACGTTTTGTATTGAATTACCTTTTTTAATATCAAAATTTTCTCTCTTTTTTTTAACGTGATATCATATGAAGACCAGACCTCATGTATCCCAAATAATTACTCAAAAAATCCACTTTTAACTTGAGTGGCGGGTTTTTATTTCATTTTAGAGTCATTCATTAACAGGTTGACTAATAGTTACAATAATTCTAGTCTATGTTTCCGTACTAGATAAGAAGATTTGTTTTATCAAACATTTAAAACTTAATAATAATTTATTGGCACAAGTAAATGTGTCCATTTGTTTCATTTATTTAAAGAAACTGGTTCGGTTTGTGTTTTTTTGCAAAATTGATAAGGAAATTCGACTCATTTGAAAAAATTGTTGTGTTGTCTTAAGTGTTCTAGTCTTAGTGGGTACTGTGGATCCTCCAAATTAACAATTTAAGGTTAAGGTAGAAAATACATAAAAAAATGTTAAATCTACTTTTTGCAAATGTATTAATATTTTAATGTTTGTTAAATCCACAATTCACTACTTTCAATTGTATAACGTTTCATGCATACTTCACATTGAAATTTATAAACTGTTTTTTTCACCATTGTGGTGTTGCATGTGTGTTTTTAAAGCCTTTTTTCTATATGTGGTGAATTTTTTGCAGATCGAACATTCAAGTCGACTTTTGCATAATTTTTCATGGATTTCTCTCTCAGTTTGGTTTGAAAACCCTTCAAAACAACAATGACAATGAAACGGAATTTTATCGACGTGAGTCACTCTGTGCAACTTCAGGTTCCATTTTGATGCGAATGCTCTGCCGCAAAAATCGCATTTATAAGGTCTTCTGCCAGTGTGGATACGCATATGCTTGTGGAGGATTGAATTATAATTGGTGGAATATTCACACATTTGGCACGAAAATCGCTTTGATGATATTTTCGTCGTTTTAGTCGAAACCAATATTTTAGTTTTCGTTGCAGCGATATTTTTGTTCTGGGTTGCTCTAACCATTCGTTTGGCGGTATTGTTCGATGTGACGGTAAGTTCATCTGTGGTGTTCAATTCACGATTTACATTAATTTCATTGACGGTTTCATTCAACACGGTGGCTATTGGAGCAGAACGATTTGTTTCGTTTTCACTTTCATCATCTGAGTCATCGATTTCAATCAAAGTTTTGTTGTCCTTATCGATTTGATTCGAACTTGGAGCATTTATATCGAAATGTTGATTTGCCGAACTTTTTTCAAGATGTAAATTCAATTCGAATTGGTTGTAAGTTTCGGTTAATCTATAGAGAAAAACATGGCAATTGATTTGAGTTCAAAAAAACGAGAAAAATACGACAATTATATCTAGGTGAGAAAGCACTTTCATGAATGTTTTCATTATTTTTCAGGCCACCACATTTAAATGAAATTTAATGAAGAACATACCGATTATTTGCAGCTGTGAAAAAGTGTTGCCGGAAGTGTTCATCAAATTTCAAACCTTGGCGCTCAAATTCCTCTTTTACCAAGCCCAACGAAAAAATTGCTTGTTGTTGGAATGCACCAAGCATGTCATAAATTACTTTTTCCCACTCCATTGCTGCTAAACATTTCCATTTGGCGAAATAAAAATGAATTAGAATGGATTTCATTGAAAGAATAAACAATGTCTAGCAAATATACTCGATATTCAGTTGGTATGAAAATTGTATCGCCGAAATATTTATTATTTTGTAAGGAGCTATTTTTCGTCGCAACAATTCTTATGGTGATGCGTCGTTTCTTCTCGTTCTATCATCGAGAGTTCTTATGTAGCGTTGTATCATCACCATAACGTAAACAAACAGATTATAGGAAAGTAAACATTCCGTTACTATGTTTCGTTCGCGTTTTACATATACAAAGCCGAGTACAAAGCAATAAACATTTCGACGATTCAATTACCATTACATCAAATAAACTATCTATAAAAAACTTTTTGTTGCAATATTATTTGAAGACAAATAAGAGCGTTTTTTTCGCCTGTATGAATTTCGTTCAAAAACGTTTCGTGTTGAAACTTCGAAAAAAAATCTTATATAGAACATGAGATTTGATAATTTCATGGAATAAGTAGAAATCACTTTGACATTTTATTATATAGAAAACAATTCAAATGAATTTTAAAAATTGAATCTCCAAAAATGAATAAAATTTTGCCACACAAAACACTAAATTTATTCGTAAAATTGAAAATATATTTGAAGATAGTTTAGTTCAATTGTGGTCGCCAAATTTTCACCGCTTAACTTATTTCTTACCTTGGCAAATCAAATTTTGTTGAACACACACACAGAGTTTAATTTATTTTCAGAATTGGTCGTTTAAGAACATTTAAGAACGAGGAAAGAAAGTTGTGTAGCACATGCACAAAGTCAAGTGAAGTACTGCTGATGATCGAGGACTATCTTGACGTAATTTTGAAGTAGATGTCAAATGTTTACATAAATTTTCGACAAAATCAATTTGTCACACAATGGCATTCGACAAAAGCACTTCAAAGCTTGCATTTGAAATTTAAAAAGAAACCAGTTCCCGCCACTGCATGAAATCACTCCATTTCGTTATAAATTTGGTTCAATTAGAATTTGTTTTGAAGCAAACGTATGTACAATGTACATATTGATCCGAAATCTCTTGTTTCTTGATCGAAAAATATTTAGTCAAGTGAATTTTACCTTGAATGTGGTTTTTTTCTATATTACAAGTTTCGCTTTAGATGAGCGTCATTTATCTATGCAATGATCGGACATGTTGATTGGTAGTTACAATAGTAAGTTACTATTAGTAACTTCATTCAATTGACGTATTATACACCGAAAAAATATATAATTTCTCAACACAGCGACCTTTGGACTTTACGCAAAATTTGACCATATCATTATCAATCAAAAATCGCGAAAATATTTTGTATAAATACGGCCACGAAGCTGTTATCCACCAGTACTTCTAAATTTTCCGTTCACATCAAATAGTAAAGAAGAGAACTTTTTTATTTCAAAATGAAGTCTTTCATTGTTTTTGTTTTTGTGTGCTGTATTATTGGTTTATCAGAGGTGGAATTTTGATAAAAATTATTAATTAGAAAAATAATTTTAAATAAAAAATATATTTTTTGGCTTTAGTCGCTTTCGAAAGAACAAAGAGTGGAAATGTTTTTGAAGATGGCAAACGAATGTGCTAAAAAGGAAGGCGCAACAAGTGCCGATGTTGATGAATTGGCTGCACACAAAGCAGCGAGTGGAAAAGGTGGAAAGTGTATTCGAGCATGCATAGCTGAAAATGTTGGAATCGTAAGTAGACAACGGGATACGGACACGCAGCTCAAGTTTGAATAAAATGCCATTATATTTCAACAGATGAAAAACAATCAAGTTGATGTCGAAGGCACTGTCAACGTGGCTACAATGGCTTTTGAAGGAGATGCCAACAAAGTACAAACCGCTCGGGATTTGGCCAGCGCATGTGTTAGCGAAACCGATTCAGATCGCTGCGAAGCTGCTGCTAAAATCTTTGCCTGTGGTCGTAGTGTTGCAAAAGACCGCGGTCTCTCGTTCGATGATTTGTAAATATGAAAATTATAGTAGCAAATGCACATCAAAAATGATTTGACACCGTGATTCATTTGTTTTTGAATATGCATGTTAACTGAAAGTTATTAAAATAGATATTCAATTATTACTGTAAAAAATCATTTTTAATAATTCAAAACTATTCCGATTACTGGCAAGTTCAATGAATTGCAATAAAATTAAACCAAAAATAGAAAATATAATTTGTTTTATTGCATTTATCCAAATGACCTAATAATTTTAACAATCGAAGTCATTGAATTTTTATATAAATACGACGTTAGATTCAATGGAGCACTCATATTACGTGTACAGCGTAAGTAAGCTGAAGTTCTTTTTTGTAACTCTGAAAAACTTCTGAACGAGAAAAATGAAGTGTTTAATTGCATTATTGATAGTGTGTTATGTGATTCGGGCATCTGAGGTAGATCATTGCAATCGAAAATTCCGTTGAAATATACTCTCTTTATTTTCAAAAACAAATATTTCTGAAATGAAGGCGATGACAAAAGAGGAGATGGTGGCCGCTTTCAAAAAAATTGCCAGCGACTGTGCACAAAACGAAGGTGCAACCGATCAAGATATGGACGAAATATTCGCGCGCAAAGTTCCAAGCACAAGAGAAGGAAAATGTGTGCATGCTTGTTTGGGTGAAATGATAGGAGTTGTAAGTTGTTTGTGATGGGTTGCTGTGAGTTTGAGAAAATAAATAGCATTTGATTTCTGGACACATAGATGAAGAACAATATGTTAGACGTGGAGAGAGCAGTTGAGTTGGCAGAAATGGCATTTAACGGTGACACTACCAAAGTGAACACGGCTCGTGAACTTGCTAACGAATGCTCCGGAGTTACGGACGGAGATCGATGTGATGCTGCTGTTAAATTATTCGAATGTGGTCATATGGCTATTAAATCTCGAGGAATAACATTTGAAAATATGTAAAAAATATGTCGTTTGCAAAAAGCCTTTGTAATCTAGATCTTTCTCTCTGTAACATTCTTTTAATTGGTATACATGCTGGTTTGCGCCACAAATAAAATAGGAGCAACCGAAAATCGTTTTCGAATCTTTTATTTGTTATCAATTATATGATGCTTGAACTCAATCCATTTAATGACTTTTTGAAATTGCATAACCAAACAAAAAAATTCATCAATGCGGAAAATAACAAACTCATAATGATAAAGCATTTATAGAACAACAGATTTTATGGTAGATAATACATACTTCAATTGAAAACGTATTTAAACTACAATTTACAGTGAATATTCAACTACAATTTAAATTTCACAATTTGGACAAGTTACGAAAATTGCTGATCAAAATTACTCTAGTAGCTCTGCTATATTTCCCATTCGATGACATAATTCCAAAATACATTCCCTTCGAATGAAAAAATTTAAAACTCAAAAAACAATTAACGAACATATCAAAACGATAACAGAATCAGTCACAAATTCACATGTGACCAATTAATGACGTCGTCAAAAGATAAAAAAATGTTTTCCGAAATGTGTTCTTATATGAATGAAAACAAAATTTACACATGAATGCAAAGTCTATGATTGTTGTCTTATTTTGATGAATCTGCACGAAACACACAAAATATTTGTATAAAGCACATAGTTTCAATTTATGTGAGTATTATAAAAAAATATTTCATGGTTCCACACATTAACTAATTATAGGAATTTGATATTTGGTCTTTATTATATAACGTTCTGTAAACATCCTCTTTAATTCTTGCCACAAAAAGAATCGAATGTGTTGTTAAAAATGGTATAAATATGGATATCATTTTGGGAGTTTGAAATTAGTATCAGATATTGGTATTGATGTGTAAGTTGATAAGTTTGTGGAGAGAAAGAGATTAAAACCATTGAACACAAAATTAAAATAAAATTTGGAAAAATGAAATATCTAATTGTTTTGGTGGTAGTCTGTGCTGCTGTTAGCTTTTCAGAGGTAGTGAATTGAATAATAGAGTAGACTGAATTGATATTAGAGTTAATTTTTCTGTTTTTAGCAAGCAATGACCAAGGAACAAGTTATGGAATTGTACAATAAAATGGTGGAAGAGTGCGCCAAAAAAGAATCTGGCTCATCTACTGACATAGAAGAAGTTTTTGCAAAAAAATTGCCAAGCACCAAAAATGGCAAATGTATTCACGCCTGTGTAGGAGAAACCACCGGACTTGTAAGACACACATGTCTATTAAGATCTGAAGTTTTTAATTTGATCTTACTTACCATTTTAATTAACTTTACTAAAAAAATTCACAGATAAAAGATAACAAAGTAAATGTTGAAGGTGCTATTGCAATGGCTAAGATGGTGTATGATAACGACGCAGCAAAAGTACAGATGGCTAACGATTTGGCGAATGACTGTATTGGAGTCACTGATGGCGAACGTTGTGAAGCGGCTTTCAAAATAATTCAATGTAGTGAACAAGCTCACAAAGCTCGTGGTGTTTCATTCCTCGATTTGTCATCAAATTAAGGAACTACTTTCAAAGGACAGGAAAGCATAAACCTAGGGGATAACCGTGAATTGCAGATCGAATAATTTATAATAATAAACGCTATTTCTCTCTATTTTTCACTAATTCTGCTAGTATTTCTACTAGTTTGTTCTAATACTGCTATTTTTTGCTAATTTTTCTAGTACGTCAAAAATATTGCATACGTCAGATTGACTGCATGATCGAATAACCGAAATATGTTTACGTAAATGTTTCAAGTTGACACTTTCAACGTGTTTATTTGAAGCAGGCACTAGCGTATACGTTTTCAGTAAGAAATCTGTCATCAAATCTACATTTCCGCGTGAAATTCGTAAATTGTAGTTAATACAGATGAAACGTGCTTGATTACGTGCCATTGAATATATTTTTATTTAAAAATGGGAAAAAGCGTATTTAACTACATATTTTGATACATTTTAGTTCAACACTATTCAATTCGTTTGTTATGTGAATTTTATTTTAATTAATTATTTCAAAAAATTCAAGAATAAATGCTTACTAAAGTATATACGTGTACAGTGCTAATTCTGCCATTTATTGCTAATTTCGCTATTTTCTTCATGTAAATTTCCCTATTTTTTTGCTAATGTGCTAATTCTAATTCGCATGGATATCCCCTAGGCATAAACATTGAAATTATTTTATTTTACCTTAATTGGTAAATCATATGTTGATCTACCTTTAAACAGAAAATGAAAGAATTGACACATTCAGTTACCTCACTCGTTTTTATTTGTTAATTCTTCAATCATAACTTTGTAATTAAATAAAAAATTGTAAAATGGACCTATAGAAATGCTTGCTTTTATATATTTTCATCAATCATCGAAATATAATTTACTCTTGCCGATATTATATAATAAAAAATACCTATATCTACTATTCTACTTGTTATACACAAAAAGATTTGAAATTTTTTGAGTTTGAATGGTTTGAATTTCATTTATTGGATGAGATAACATTGGTCATGGTCCATGAATGTATAGTTGATAATTTCTGTCTATTCTGGATTAACTAACAAGATATGGTTCCGCAAATATTATTTAGTATTGTCTTTGGAGATTGGCATATATATAAAGTCGATTAATCGAAAAAAATCTGCGTACTTATAAATTTGCTATATTATTGTGCTGTAGCCATTCAGATCTTGTATGAATACGGATATCGAATTGGAATTGGAGATTAGTATGAGATTCGTGTGGACACTTGTTGAGTTTTTAGAAAGAAATAGATTTGAACACTAGAGTTCGTGTAGAAAATAAAATTTGGAAAAATGAAATGTTTAATTGTTTTGATGTGTGCGGCTAATTGCTTTTTGGAGGTGATTGAATAACGGATTAAAGTGGGTTAAATTGATATCAGAATTAAATTATTTTAATTTTAGCAAGCAATAACCACGGAGCAAGCAATAGAAATGTACCCGAAAATAGTCGAAGACTGCGCTAAAAAAGAATCTGGCTCACAAGATGACATAGATGAAATTCTTAGGGCAGAATTGTCCAAAGCCACAAATGGCAAATGTACTTTAGCTTGTGTAGGAGAAACCACTGGGATGGTAAGACATAAATGTCAATTAAGATCTTAATTTTTCCGAATTTTGATCGCTTCTATTCATATATACAGATGAAAGATAATTAAGTAAGCGTGGATGGTGCTATTGCAGTGGCTCAAATATTTCTTGATGAGGATACAGAAACAATAGAAATGGTCAAGAATCTGATAAATGACTGTGTTGAAGTCACTGATGTAGATCGTTGTGAGGCTGCTTTTAAATTGGCGCTATGTTACGAACAAGCAAGTAAAGCTCGTGGTTACGACTATTAATCTCATGAAGGGCAAAGAATACTTAAATTTTTTTATATTATTTTGAGTTGATCTATTATGACCTTTAAACACAATTTACAAAATAAAAGAATTCAAACAAAAAAAAATCCCGCTCGTTGTCATTTGCTGATTGATTCTTCTGGTTATCTTTTTTTATAAAAACGATGGAAAGATGGTAAGGAGTCTTCACGAAGGAACACTAAACATGGGATAGTTTTATCAAATATGGTAAAATAGCCGAGAGATACTGATGTGAAACCGCTTTCAAGATATTACAATGTCATCATAATTAGACAAAAACTCGTAGCACTAACAAGACTTAACACTTAATGAAGTCTGAAATTAAAGCACATGCTTTCTAGTCTTTTTTTAATACAAAGGCATGTCAATGTAGAGAATTTTGTATGAAATTTCAATTCATTGAGTGCAAAAAGTAAGGTATTTATTTTATAATATATACTAGTGTATGGAAAAGATTAAAAAAAATGGAATGTTTAAATGGTCTGTTGCATTTTGTTTATTTGATGAGGTGACATTGGTCAAGGGCCATGAATGTATAGTTGATACTTTCTGTCTATTCTGGATGATTTGACAAGATACGATTCCGCAAATATTAATTAGTATTAGACTTTGGAGAATGGCAGATATATCAAAAAGTCGTAGATTTATAAAAAAGCCGTGATTCAACACAATGGATTAATTATAGTGAAATTTGCATTTAATTGTATCGTCTACGATTCTGACCACAAAAAAGAAGTAAATTTATTATCCTGAATGACTTAAAAATCATGTATAAATATGGATACCGAATTGGGATTGGATATTAGTATCAGAGATTCGTGTGAACAGTGCCACTTGTTGAGTTTTTGAAAAGAAAAATATATTTGAACACCAGATTTTGTGTGGAAAATAAAATTTGGAAAAATGAAATATTTGATTGTTTTGGTGCTAGTGTGTGCGGCTGTTAGCTATTCGGAGGTAGCGAATTGAATAACGAAGTAGGTTAAATTGATACTAGAATTAATTGATTTTCATTTTAGCAAGCATTAAGCAAGGAGCAAGCAAAGGAAATGTTCACGAAAATGGTCGAAGACTGTGCTAAAAAAGAATCTGGCTCACAAAATGACATAGACGAAATTCTTACAAAAAAAACCGGTCAGCACTAAAAATGGCAAATGTATTCAAGCTTGTGTAGGAGAAACTTCCGGAATGGTAAGACATACATGTCAATTAAAATCTTATTTTTTCCCGAATTTCAATCGCTTCTATTCATATAGATGAAAGATAATAAAGCAAGCGTGGATGGTGCTATTGCAGTGGCTAAAATGTTATTTGATGACGACGCAGCAAAAATAGAAATGGCTAAGAATATTGCAAATGACTGTCTTGGAGTCACTGATGGAGATCGTTGTGAAGCTGCTTTTAAATTATCGCAATGTTGCGAACAAGCACATAAAGCACGTGGTGCTACTTACGAATGGTAATCTCATTGGCATTAACTAAATTCAAAGGACAATGGAAACTCAAAATTGGAATTATCTTATGTTATATCTTATCTGTTAAATGAACCGCCTAGAATAAATCAGCATTACTAGATAAATGTCTTCAAATGCGTTATAGAAAAAAGTACGTCAGCAATAGTGTCAAAAACTGTATGTGACGCGTTATATAAAAAAGTTCGCCAACAAAAGCGTGACATCGTCCATATATTTTATAACGCTTTTGCTGACTGACTTTTTTCAGTAACGCATTTGAAGACATTTATCTAGTAATGCTGATTTATTTTAAGGGATTCAAATCACATGTTGATCAGCACCTTCGAACACAACTTATGAAATAAATGAACTCAAACCTTCAATTTTCTAATTTGTTTTCATTTTTCTACCATTGAGTATAATTTTTACAAGATTCTGATATAAATGTCTTTTCCACGGATAAATTGATGAATGGTTATTACATAGAAGCGGATGCTAAAAGCGGACGTGCACGTCTCAATATTTTTTTTTTAAATAAAAATAATAGAAACATATAATTATCAAAAAAAAATGCGTTTTACAATGTACGATGATGTGGCATTATACATAATAACTATGCAAATTAAACAAACAAAATAATTTTCATATTCACTTTCGTTTTACACTCAACTCATGGCGTAATTTTATCTGGTGACCTTGTGATTATACATATATATTTTTCTCGCCAGAATAAAAAATAGCAATTCAAGTGTTTAAATTTGTTTTATAAATTTTCAATAAAAAGCAGAAAAGCATACTTCATTTTCCGAAGTCTGATAACGGATAGATTCTAATATGTTAAATGGGCAATTTGATTTGTCGCATCCGATACTATTTTTGTAAGCATTCAATTCAATCAGACTATCGAAAAAAAGATAACAGCGATCAAAATGTCAAACGCACATTCGGTGTATGATTAAAGTGTCAATGAAACCGACAGACAAGCTCTACAAATAATTGTTTTATAAACGTTTGCGTTTGCCGACAACAAAGACAACGACAAAATTGAATGCCCCGTGAATGATAATTATGAATTGAGTTGAAATTGTATCGAGTTTAGTGTGTGCTATAAAATTAAAAGGTGAAACATTTAAGCAAACGTTCAATAATTATGGGGGAAGTGAAATACAGCAAGGGTCTATCAGTTATGGCGAATACTAAGAAAGTGATGTCATAAACAGGTCTGATCTGAAACGTGTTGCATTTCACGTTGAAATACAATGAAATTGCGCAAAAAATGTACACGAAATGGATAAAAATAAAAATTAATTTCGCTTTACTGAGCACATATCTTATGTTCTATTCATAACTGTATCAGCTCAGAGATACACGCACAAGTTCGTATAACGTATATGCCATACACCAGTCGATTCTCCGCCTCAGCACCACCATCCACTTTGGGAGAAAACAGTAAAACGTGGAAAATAAATTGATGTCAAAACACGTGCCGAATCCATTTCGAATTGTCAGTGGGTATTTGTTGCTTTTTTCGTTTGCTTATATAACAGTTTCCTCTCTTCTTTATATTAACATTTTATGCATTATGATTTCAGAAATCATATTTTTATATTCAAATTACTGTCGAATACACAAAACTAAAACAGAAAAAAAAAATGCCAAAAACATCATTTTGTTTTACGTTTCTCAATATTTGATAATAAATATTATAAGATCTTTTCACACTACTGTGGATATGAAATGTTTTGGTCAAAATCCTTATTCTTCAGCTGAAATAATTCTATATAGAATGCTATGAATAAATCAATTTACATTTAAGATCATTTGCAGCGAGTCTTATTGTAAATCTTTTTGTACATTTTTGTATAATTATTATATCATTATTATTCTATGATAATCATCAATAATCACTTCAATAATGTGTAGTACAAAGCATTTGTTCAAAACATGGGTTAAAAATCAAAATAAAGTAAAAATTTTTTTTTTAATAAATTATGACCGATACAGGTATTTTAACAACCTCCAAAACAAGTGTTTACATTTACATACATATATTTTTGTGTTTTATACATTTTCATTACATTTTAATGCACATAAAAGAAACAAAAATGTATTATTTTTTTGATATTTTTCGTACCCTTGTGATGCTGGATAAATATCATTCCACTTTTGAGTTGAAGGTATCTGCAAGAATAGCAGAAAATATATGAATGTCAAGGTAAATATTGGTGATTATCACGATTTACGTTTATTGAAGCAAAAAATGTAGTTTAAAAAATAAATTGTCGTTTTTGAATGATTCCGTTAATACAAAGTCATTTGAATTTGAAAAAAAAAAATATTTCATTCATTGAAGACAGTATAAAGCTTCAAAATACAGAATTACAACTATCAAACTTTTGGCTAAAAAAGTATGGCGTCTCCATTGAATGGAGACGAAAAATTAAAGATAACCTATTGACAGTAGTATACAGAACCTGATTTCATTGTTTAATGGTATTTATTATGTAAATAGGAATAGTTGAAATGATTTGATTATCTATTTTGGGAAAATTACACAAATAAATAATTCAATAAAAATAACAATAGCAATTTTTAATTGATTATAAAAAAGCTTAAAAACATCTTGAACATCTTGAATGAATGAGAATCTGACAATATCCAATATGTCAAATCGTGTCAAATGCAATGACACTAGTAATATGGCTGCTACAAAAAAAATTCGTCGACAAATAATGTTAGCTAATGAATAAATTTTGTATATTTTATCAAACTAAGCATTTGACTAAAATAAAAGAATTATACAAAACATCTTGGCGTGGGATTCCCAAACGGGTAAATCCAATTTTCAATGAAATTGTTCGAATTTTCCGGCAAATCGGTTTTTGTAAAGAAAGTAAATGAAACGAAGGAGTGTGTTGTGCCAACTCAGTATACAAAAAATTGTGTCATTTATCGTATATTGTTGGAGTGAGAGACAGCGATAAGTGAATACACTTGGTGATCACAATACAAGGGAGTGCATACATATTTCACACCGCTCACACCTGTATGTTGGACTGTGTAAATCATATACAATAGTGGGCAAAATTCGTCGTTATCGCACATTTTCTGTTAATTGACGCTGATTTTTTTATATCATTTTAAATTGAATGATTCAATGTTATTGTTGTTCTACTGGACTGACAATTTCGGAAGTGCGAATTTTTGTGGCAAAGCCAATTTCAATAAAATAGATTGAGAGTGTTTTTTTTGCTGTTGATATTTAAGTTCATTTGACATTCCGGTGCTGTTTATATAAAAAAGTACGTGAGTGAGTCAACATTAGATAAGAACAAGCATTAAAATGGGTCACTTGCACTTGTTTCATATAAAAATCAATAGTAATTGTACGAAAAACAATATATATTTTCTTATAATTTCAGCCGCTGTTCAATATGTCGTCGTCAGCTATTTTTATACTTGATGTTAAGGGAAAGGTATGAAATAAACAAGAAAAAATCAATTATCATCTTAATTACAATTGTATTAATGTGAATTTCTATCTCGTTCTCTTTTCGAATTGCAACAAAAGGTGTTGATCTCACGTAACTACCGTGGTGACATAGATACTAACACAGTAATTGATAAATTTATGCCACTTCTGATGGAAAAGGAAGAAGAAGGTCTCATCACACCAATTATTCAGATAGCCGAATGCACATTTGCCTATATCAAAACGAATAACTTGTACATAGTGTCGGTGACACGAAAAAATGCCAATATTGCGTTGGTGTTTGTATTTCTGCATAAAATTGCTCAAGTGTTCACCGAGTATTTCAAAGAATTAGAAGAGGAGAGTATTCGTGATAATTTTGTGGTTGTATACGAATTGCTTGATGAGCTTATCGATTTTGGATATCCGCAGACAACCGATAGTAAAATTTTGCAAGAATACATCACACAAGAGGGTCACAAATTGGAAATTCAACCACGCATACCGATGGCAGTGACAAATGCCGTATCTTGGCGTTCGGAAGGCATTAAATATCGCAAGAACGAAGTATTTTTGGATGTGATTGAAAGTGTCAATTTATTGGCCAATGCAAATGGAAATGTGTTGCGCAGTGAAATTGTCGGTGCGATAAAAATGCGCGTGTACTTATCGGGAATGCCCGAATTGCGTCTTGGTTTAAACGATAAAGTTCTATTCGAGAGCACGGGCCGGGGTAAATCGAAATCGGTCGAATTGGAAGACGTTAAATTCCATCAATGCGTTCGATTGTCACGATTTGAAAATGATCGTACGATTTCATTCATTCCACCCGATGGCGAGTTTGAATTGATGTCATACCGTTTGAATACACATGTAAAACCATTGATTTGGATTGAATCGGTTATCGAACGATTTGCCCATTCACGTGTTGAGTACATGATTAAGGCAAAGTCACAATTCAAACGACGATCAACGGCAAACAATGTTGAAATTGTTATTCCAGTTCCAGCCGATGCCGATTCACCAAAATTCAAAACGACCATTGGCAGCGTTAAATATGCACCAGAACAAAATGCAATCACGTGGACAATTAAATCATTTCCGGGCGGTAAGGAGTATTGATTGTTTTACAATTATTTTTCGATTATTTTAAATTAATTCGATTATTTTCTTTTGTGATTCTCCCCTTAGGTAAGGAGTATCTGATGAGAGCTCATTTTGGATTACCGAGTGTTGAATGCGAAGACAGCGAAGGAAAACCACCAATTCAAGTGAAATTTGAAATTCCATATTTCACCACATCTGGCATTCAGGTAACATTCACAATCAGTTTTATTTTGTGTAACAAGTGATTGATTTTTTGTTCGAAATTTCACAGGTGCGTTACTTAAAAATCATCGAGAAGAGTGGCTATCAAGCATTACCTTGGGTTCGATACATTACACAGAATGGAGATTATCAACTTAGAACCAATTAATTTGCATTTTCGCGTTTGTTTTTTTTTTCTACAAATATAATAATGACAACATCATTGTAAATTCGCGAATAAAGACACACTCGGCAATTTGGCCATCGATTTAAATATGAATGAAAAAAAAATGTCCATAATTATATTAACCTCTGAATTGGAATAAAGTTAAAAAGAATAATTGAATGAAATTACTTTCTCATCTATTCGTTTGTTTTTTCTTTAATTTATTTCAACATTCAATTAAAAATTTTGTCGTATTACACTCAAACTAAATCTATACAAGAAGAATTGATTTATGGCCAGTATGTTTTCTTCCATTTGTTTCTTTTATCGTGGTAGCCACCGATACGTTGACTTCTTGGTATGTACAATGGATGGTAATCATCCAAACGCCGATCCCATGGGTCTTGATTAAGTTCAAAGAATCTTCGGCGTGGATCCATTGGCCGAGTATTGAATTTGATTTTATAAATCCATTCCCATAAATAGACTTCTGGAATTTTATCTGTACGATGTCGTGGCTTTCCAGACATCAAATGCTTAAAGTTTTGCTCCAGGAATTCACGACGTTCAACATGATCAATGTCAGCAACTGTTTCTTCTTCTTTATCCAAATATGGTTTCATATCATAATTCCGTTCTTTTGGTTCGGCCAAATAGAATTGGATGAGATGACGCAATACCTCATCGTTGAAACCCACAACTTTGCCATTTTCATCAATACCTTCAAATAGTTTTAGTTCTTCGGTTCCCCAACATTTGTTTGCACGACGATTACGATCGAAAAATACCGTCTCAAATACGGTTGTATTGAGTTGATACAAATAAAATGACCAATTTTGACCATCAGTTATAATCGTTTGTGTGGTTAACGGGTATGTTAACTCATTAAATGTTGAAAATCCTTGATAATAAGCCTGACCGACGAGCCATCCAAAACTGTTCAAAATTGCCTGTGCCTTTAATGCATTTTGTTTGTCTGTTGGATCAACTTCGTTAAATACCACTTTGTAGTTGTGTCGATTGTGGTAGCACAATTGACCGAACTCGTGCTCGCTGCCCGGCCAAAAGCCAGGAATCGTTTTCACATGTTGATACACTCGTTGATATCCAATTGCTTGAGGATCACATCGTGAATGTGGTATTTCAGCGACGTCGAACGTTTCATCATTTTCGAAGTCCTCAACGACCGGCTCCAATGGTAACCGATTTCTCACCGACAAAATGGGATGACCTAAGAAAATGACCATTTGACTGTTTTGCTTGGCGAAAAAATTGATTATTTAACCTACCAACATATTGAAATGGCCTGTCAACGGGTTCATTTAATTCTTCTTCTGTCAATGGCTTTTTGCGTTCAATCCAAATCTTTTTATCCTTTGGTGGCTCGATTCCTATAAAATTTTCATTGAAATTCTTAATTGAATATGAGCAAAAAAACGCCAAACAAATAATTTACCTCCGACCATCCAAAATGCTTCATGTCGTGGCCCGATATCGACTTCAGACTCCATTAAATGCGGTGCCGCTGAATATAAACTTTTAATAATGATTCGATTCAAGTCTCGGCAAATTTGCGTCGTTCTTAACTTGTTCTTTTCGGCCACCGATAGTTTCACATCAGATTCATACTCGCGTCTAAAATGTTACGAACCATTCAATTCATTAATTGAAATCTATCATGAAAAAATGGTGCCAATTGATCGGTTACCTGAATCCTTGGTACTGGAACGAAATCGCTTCAATTACTTGCTCACGAATATTATTTACTAAGCCATCGATCTCCTCCGCTGAACGTTTGAACCAACCGCTCGGTAGTCCGGTTTCATATTGTGTTCGTGTCCAATGTTGAATGTATGGAAAACAATTGTAATGATACTCATCATTCACCAGTGGAGTTGTCCGTAATCCCCAATATGCCGGCATATTCACTTTGATTAACTTTTCCTCGATGGAATGGCAATTTTTCACTTCTTCATGCCATGCTATCTTTTTTCGTTCATTCACTGCTTTCTGTGACAGATCAAGAATCGGCGGATATTCGACTTTGGTTGTATTTTCCGTTGTATCGATGACCGCATTTTGAGCAGCACAATATCGTCGAAGCACTGGTCTTAAACGTAGTGCTACACCTTTATTCAATTTTGTGCTAAACAGAGAAAGAGCCATTTTTGGCCGATGTACTCACATTGATTCGATTAGTATCGTATTGAGGTTATGTTTTGACAAGAAATTGAAATGTTTTCGTCGCATATATATGTCATATGTCCATTGGTTCAATAACATGCATCCGATCATATTTTAAATGGAATTTAAAGTGCATTATTTTTGTTTTAAAAAATCAGAAAATCATTTAAAATTGAAAATTCATTGAAAATTTCATTTATAATGTTATGTTTAAATCAGCCGCTCGTTGAATGGAATCATAAAAAATTGCGGCGAATTCGCTGTGACAGAGTAAGAAAGCTTGTGTGTTCACATGTGTGTTTGACTCTTTTGCGCCAATGTAATTTGCGTAGAAAACGGTGTGTCAAAAAACGAGCGCAATTTCCATATGAAACAGGAATCTGTAAAGGCAAACATATTGTTTGTTTGTACCAAACGGCGAACAACAGAAAAAGAAGCTGAAGCAAAAGAGAAAGCGAGATAAACGAATCCTTCTTCGCGATGGTTTTTCATGCATAGATATCTGTGCAGTGTGAGCGAACGAGTGAGTTAGCTAGTGTGTTGTTGCGAATGTATTTTGTTGTGCATAAAGTGCGAACGCAATGATACATAGAACCATATAGCCAATGGGGCGATTTACATTGAGTTTGCAATTTTGTAAGGGCAGTGCACAGGCAGATGAAAGTGATTTCTATCATTACATTTTAAAATATCAAGTTGATCGGTTTGTGATAAAAGAGAGAAAAAGAATACAGAATTGTGCATAACGATTTGGTTTTTAACAAGTGCATGACACTATAAAAGAATAATTTATTTGTATACTTCACGATATTGGCAAACGTCTCATTTTTATATTGTCCGGAGTAGGTTAAAAGTGTGAAAATCGATCGAATAATAAATATTGTCGAAACAAAATTATCTGGATAGTCTTTGTGATGTATGCATCGGTACAAAGTTAAGCACCAGATAACCGTAAATTAAAAGCGAGGCTACTTACTAAGGTAAAAACACATGTCAGTCAACCAAAGGAAAAAAAAATATATCGACCCATTGGTTTGTGGAATATTTGTGTTTTCTATTTAAAAAAAATTTCAACATTATTTTTTTCCACTGAGTTGTAGTTATTGGTTGGTCTTTTTAGTTACATTATTGTTGATTTTTCTTTTATCCAAAGTTTTTCGTGCATAAACTGATAATTATTCGAACAAACAAATATTCATTTGAGTGTCCATTTAAATAGTATTGTGATACACAGATTTGATATCATAGAAAACGATAATAGAAGAGAGAAAAAAAAATCGCGTTTCATTGCATGAACGAACCAAACCTCTGGCATAATCTATGTAACGGCATTCTATGAGTGTATCCGAGCAAATGGTAGTGCGTGCAATGGCTTTAATGTTGTACCATTCGCTATATTGCCGTTGCGTTGCGCACCGCATATAGTGTATATTCCTTGAATGTTTCACCGTGTCTCTCCGTATTACAAAGGAGCTCAATAAAAATGGCTGCATGTATAAAAAAAAGCTAACAATTAAAATTGTAAATAAATGACACGATTTGATGATTTAAATTTAAAGATATTTCAAGCAAACATTTTTTATCGTAAATCGTTCCGTATGGATACCATTTTTTTCATAGCTGTTGTAGACAAAAGAGAATAGAGAGAGAGCGAGAGAGAAAAAAATTATGGCGAATGTTTGTTCTTATTCATTGGTCATTGTCTTTTCTATTCGATTTAATACCGTTTCTTTTTTATTTGTGTGTTTTTTTTTTAATTTTTCGTGAATTTTGCTGGACAGTTTTTGCGATTGCTTTAATTTTAATATTTTTTTTTAAGCTTTGTGTCTGTTTTGTTTTTGTTTGTGGACTGGTGTTTAATTTAGCATGTATTTTATTTTTTTGCATCCTCGCACTCATTTGCACTTTATAAAAAGCAATTTCAATTCATTTTAGTTATTAAGCAAAGAAAAAAGACAAACAAAAAACGGAAATATGAATTCCTTTCTTGATGTCACAGCAAACCAACGGTCATCTTTCAATGCACACAAAAATTACAGTGACATAAAACCATTGTCACCGAAGTTGATCCATGCGCCGTTGGCCCAGCAATCAAACAACACAAATCACACAAAAACACAGCCTAGTCAAAACGGAACAAATCAAACGAAAAACAATAATAATAGCAACAATAACAACCACAACAACAACAACAACAACAATAATAATAATCGGCGCAAAAACACAACATATCAATCGAATGGCAAAAAACGAAATTTTAACGGATCGCATAATTCAAATATAGGTGTAAGCAATAGTGCTGACAGTCGACAGTACCAACGTTTAGGCAATAATAGCAATTCAAATCACAATGCCACTGTCTCGGGCAAAAAAGGAGATAAATTTCAGACAAAGGACAATTTTGATTCAGTGCGATCAACGACCACGTCGTCTAGTGTAAGCAGCAATAGCAGTGAAGGAAGCTCTGAAAGAAGCAATACAAATTCAATCAAAGGTATTGGTACATTCCAAATGTCCTTGTTCGCATTCGGAATGGTGTCACAATGATGGTCGTCTAACTTTGTATTTCTTTTTCAGATCGAATTTCAAGACCAAATACAAACTCGAAATCTTCTGTGATGGACATCAGATCAGCAAGATTGATGATACCGCATCCGGCGGCTCAACATTCTCAGCCGCATATGTCAATTTTATCACCGAATGCCAAGTCCATTTATAATCTCGAATATTTGCACCAAGTGGGAACACAAATATCGGATCGCTATCGAACGCAGCAAAATGATTTCTACAATTCAAATGCCAACAGCAATACGAATGGAAGTCGATTATCATATTCGAATGAACGAAATAATGGGTCGCGATACAATAATACGAACGCAAATAGTGGAAATAAATACTCAAATAAATCATCGGCGCAAGCCAATAATACGTCCGTATCACCTCCATTATCAATAACATCGAGTGGCAGCAGTACGACGAGTAGTAAGAATAGTCGAGTATCGAAGTCATATAATGGCAATTCGATGCACGGAATGAATAACCATCGAAACATTCCAACGACACCGACGATTCAGCAATCACATAATGGTTACTTTCAATCACAAAGTATACCCTTTTTCCATTCGGCAACGTCAAATGGCATGCAACAGATGTTTTCAACAGCCATGAGTCCCGGTAATCAATCGCAACACTCACAACACTCACAACACTCGCAACATTCAAACCAATCGGTTGGATTGTACGTAAACTCAACATCGGGCTATCATTCGAACAATAACTATCACACGCATAACCGAAACTACAGCGGCAATGGTAATAAGAAAAATTGGAATTTTTACAGGTAAACTATTCGGTGAATTCAGTTCTTTTTAAATATTTATTTTTGAGCAACAAAAAAATGCATAATTTTTTTTATGATTTCCCGTAGCAAATCGAAATCGGACAATAATGGAAGTTACAGCAGTTCAAACAGTTCAACCACGAGCAGTATAAATAGTACCGGGAAAACAAGCTCAAATAAATCCACAACAACACATTTACCGCCGCGAAACAATACACCACCAGCACCTGAGAGCTCCGTTAAAAAGTCAACGACACCATCGGAAAAATTACCTGTGAAAAAATTGTCAAATAAAAGCACACAAGTCGAATCATCCGCACCAAGTCTGAAAACAATTAGTCTAAGTGATAGCGAAACGTCAAATTCGAAAATTAAACAATTGCCGCCGACCGAATACTTCCGTTTTCCAAAATCAAAGGCAACCTCATCGCCTGTGATCAGTGCAAATGCGCCGTCGCAACAAAATGACAAAAACCGAGTAATATCGCATTCATTTCTATCGGCCATCGATATGGACACGTTGAAAAAAGCAGGAATGACACCAGAACATCACAGTTTAACGTATGAAAAACAAGAGAAAAGTTCCTTCAATCAAAACACATTGAGTTTTCCACAGAATCAACGATCAATTTATCCAATGTCATCGCGTTACATTAGCACTGGATCAATGCTCACCGAGGAAATGCTATTAAATGGCAGTCTGAGCCGACATCGTTACATGAACCTACAAAATATGCATTTGCTTAGCGAAGCCAATGCTTGGACAACGAACCATTTGGCAAACACAGATGGCTTCACACATTCACCGTCTCGTGCTAAAAACTTTGTACCCAGCGTTGCACAACCGAAACGAAGGTATGATCACACACCGACATTTCTATCAATTCGAATTTTAATTTGTATTTTTTCTGTTTTTTCTATAGATCAGGGACAACGTTGAATTCAACGACCGGTAAAAAATCACATGATTTCGAGAACCAACGGGCCACTCAGTATCGTGCCCGTGTGAGTGAAGTGAAGATTCCAATTGATTTGTGCAATGGAACCGAATGGGATACGCTATCGCAGAAAATATGGGCCAAATTTGATGAACGTAGACAGCCACAAGAATTGTACGAGAAGAAAATTCTACTGTGGGCACATCTTTGCCAGCAAATCAAGGTATTTTGCATTTTGCACATTTTTTTTTTCACGGACAATTTCTTTTCTAAACCTGTTAAAATCTCTTTTCAGCCAATATTTTCGCGATACAGTTTGTATTTGGTTGGTTCAACGGTGTCTGGCTTTGCTTTGGATACATCCGATGTTGATATGTGTCTCGTATCCCGTTTGAGTACAAATATGGATCATCGAGCTGAGGCATTTTATCATTTGTATAAATTGAAAGCTAATTTACAGGAAAATTGTCGTAAGTAAAACCACATTTATTTTTCATACGATAAAATTCAATTGACACACGTTTCTTCCGTCAATAGAATCGTTTTTGAAAAACTTCAATTTGATTCCGGCCAAAGTACCAATTTTGAGATTTGACGACATTCACAACAACATCGAGGTCGATTTGAATTACAACAATTGCGTGGGGATTCGTAATTCGCATTTGCTGTATTGTTACACACAATGTAAGTCCATTCGTTGCATTTCATGGATTCCATTTAATTCTTGTCTTTCTTTCTCTTTGACAAACATAGTGGATTGGCGGCTACAACCATTGGCTGTAATTGTTAAACTTTGGGCGCAACATCACGAAATAAACAATGCAAAGGATTTGACAATATCAAGTTATTCGCTAATTTTGATGGTGATACACTATTTGCAGTGTGGCGTTAAACCCGCAATATTACCCTGTTTGCATGCTATTTACCCAGACAAATTCAATGTGAGTTTCCAACATTTTTTTTTATTCGAATTTCCCAATTTGATATTCGTTTGATTCGTTTATTTATAGAGAATTAACGGCATCGAAGCGATTAATATGAACGATAAAATCGAGCCATATCATTCGGATAATAAGCAAATGTTGGGTGAATTGTTTTGCGGTTTTTTGAAATACTATTCCCTTTTCAAGTGAGCGCATTTTTATTTGATTTTCGATCTTCATCCGTCGTGAATGTTTAGTAATTTGAATGCTATTTTTTCCACTAGTTACGATCAATATGCAATCTCTGTGCGGATAGCAGGTCTTTTACCAATCGATGAATGTCGCAATCATGAGTCTTTCAAGAATGACCCAACCGAATGGAAGCAGCTATGCATCGAAGGTAAGTGTTGAAGAATGATGTGCATATGCTGCAACTAGTGTTCAATATCAAATCATATCAAATCGAAATGTGAATATTCAGACTCATTTGAATATTGATATTTCTTTTTCATTTCCAACAAGTGCGCTCTTGACATCAGCGTCAATTTCATGCTCTGTAATAGAGAGAGAAAATTACACTCATATAAGTAACACGTAATAAATTTCATTTCGCAGAACCATTTGATCGGTCGAACACGGCGCGTTCGTGTTGTGATGAAAAAATCTTTGAGCGCATTAAGACAATCTTTCAAGAGTCCTTTGCTGTGATGTTGGAAACAAAAGATCTTGATCGACTGTTTAGCGAACCGCTGGCACCTCCTGCATATTGCACCTTCTACGACAATTACACTCCGATACTCTACCAGCCAGTTGAATACATCTTGCGATAATATCCATATGAGGTACATTATAATGAATGCCACTAATTAACTGACCAAAAACCAAAACCATAATGAAAAGAAATCGATAAGAAACACTGTGAATTGTTGATATTCTCTTCTCGGATCAAATTTGTGATTTTCTAATTCCTTAGCATTTATTTATCGACTACTTTCTGAATTGTGATTTTTGTTTATATAAAAAAAGATGAAGAAGAAGATAGAAAAAGTACATGATTTGATGCCGTTGCGGAGTTAGAAGATAATAAAGTTAAGCTTAAGCATAAAGTTTAGTGCAACGGAATTCAGAGCATAAGACGTCGTAGTCTGTATCGCTTTCTGTTTGTTCGCCCATCGATTTCTGGTAGCTTATCTTACCGCGAAACTGATTGCGAAAATGATTTAACAAAAAGGGAACCATTGAATTGGTAAAACATTTTTAAAGTATTTGTGATTCATTGAGTAAGAAATTGTGAATTATTGAACACGTATTTCCTTGCACCGCAAATGGAAACCAAATGACGACAAAATGAACAGTATTTTAAACGGTATTTTTAGACGAGTAAACGTGTTAAACTAAACGTTATAAATTAGTGTGTGAAATAGATATAAAAGTAAAGGGAAGCATATTTTCTTTGTGTCATTCTAATGTAGATGATATGATTTAATAATCGTGAACGCATTTAATGAAAATGTAGCAATTTTCCTGTCGATTTCATACGTGTATATTGAGTACGGATTTTGGGCTTAGTGCCATAAACGAAACTGTTTATAACCATGACCACTGAGTCTAATGTTTAAGTGACTAAAACGCTTTTCAATTTGTTCCACAAATATTCCTTTTCTCCGGTGTTTGAATTTATTATATAAGATTTGTTAGCCATGTAGGTGATAAAATATCATGCATATGCATTTGATAGTTAAGGATTTTGTTTTGATCTTTAAGATTATACTTAAGATTATATGAATTTTTACCATTTAGATTAGCGTATATCGATAGTGTTTAAAACAACAACAACAACAACAAAGTAACTGAAATATCGCAATTTTCATGTAAACCTATAAGTTCAGTCGATGCAAAAATGCAAATCAGTTGAGTTATAATTTCACGAAGAAGTCAATAGAATAATAATGAACGAAAAGGAACATCGTACTTCGAATCAAAACTTACAACAAACTCACACACGAAAAAGAAATATATATGGCAATTTGAGTTCGCTTCACGATTTATTGATCTCACACCAATCTAGTAAATTCGATTGTTTCTGAACATGTTGAATTTTGTTCTTTTGATGAAAAAAGAGAAGAAAAATATATCATTTTTGGCTCTATGTTTTAAGTAATGTTATGAAGGGAAATTCTGGCAAATCATGCATGATCTCAATTCAGTTTGTGTTTTTTTAGAAATAAGATGAAAAAATCAATCTGATCAAATTTATCCTAATATTTATCGCAAATTGATATACTATATCGTTTTCCTTACGCCAAATTCATCATTTATTTTTATGGTTAATCAAATTGCTCACTATTTACAAAGAAAAACAAACAAACAAAAAAAATGTGTTCTTGAATGATAAGTAATCATTATTTTCGTAAACGATGAATGAAACATTTTCTATAGAGTCAAACGAAATATTATCTATTTATGATGTTCCATATTGCAAAAAGCCCGAATGCATTTTTTCCCATTGAATTCAAATGAAGAAAAAAAGAGAGAGTATAACATTACTATTAAGTGCCTAGACTTAAGAAATGACATTTTACGAAAAAGGCAACTGTAAAGATTAGTCCGCTAACGCAAAAACCCAGACAATTTTATTCATTCGGTCTGATTTGCAACACATCTCGTGCACACCAGAATATATCAACCGACTACGTTAGAGGTACTCTTCGCTATGGAATTTAAGTTTCCATTTGTATTTGAGCGTTAAGCTAGAGCTGTAGATATAGATTATAGTCATAGACACACATACATTTTTAAATGGCTGTGATAAAAAAAAAAAAACTTTTAATTTAATTCATTTTTTGTGAACCGCGTGCGATTTTAAATAGTTCGATAAACGGCGAGCTTATCTCAACGTCGAAAAATGGCAATTTTGAGCACATCGAATGATGCTTTCGCAATGAAACTCGCTGGTGATATTTGAACCCATTCTAATGATTAACATATAAATATATATATTCTGGTAAAAATTCGGAACAACAATAACAACATCACACAAAAAGAAAATATTTCATTTTTCATTCAGCATTTTATCGATACAAATGACATTCGTTTTTGCTTTGGAAACGCACAATGAACTCAATTCAACAACATACACACATAACTTGCACATAACAAATTCAGTCTGTTTCATTTTGGCACACACTTTTCTAAATAAATGTTATCGCAACCATTTCAGATTTCGACGTTTGTTAAGTTTGAATAAGGCGGTTTTGAAAGCAATTCAAGAAGTAAAATGTACGGCAAATGACAAGAAATTTAGCAATCAAAAACTCAACCATTTACAAACTACACACACACACACATTGAACACAAAAATCGAAACAATATTTTTGTCTACATCGTAAAACCAGTACAAACAGCGATATTATGAAACGGTAAAAAAAAATCCTAAAGATTAAAAAAAATGATGATAAAAAAACACAAAAAGTCCGAAAAAACACACATTTTATAAAAAAAAATCCATAACTGAAAATGCAAAAATAACAGTAAGAATTAAAGTCAGAGCAGATAAATTGTAAAATTGTTAGACTGTCGAATTGAATACAGAAAATATTCAACACAAACCAGCCAGAGCAAGAAAAAAAAATCATAAAATATAAAACCACAAAAAAATCGTTTGAAAAAACTCAGTGTCATGTTCTGAGTATAAAAAAAATCAAATATTTAAATAAAACTCAAAAGAAAATCACCAAAAAAACACAAAATCAAAATATCCCATTAGAAAAAAAATAAAAAAAAAACAAAATGCGCTCCATTGGTTTGGTTTGTGTTGAATGCTATAGGGAATTTGTAAGTAGAACGGATCTTTTAGACACGAAACATAGTAAAAAAAAGATGAATTACTTAATGAGAGAAATGGTATTGCATGAATATTGTCATTGTATGTCTTCATCGAATATTCTTTTATACCGAGCAAAAAAAAAAAAAACTAAAAAAATAAAAAATAAAACAAAAATCAAAACTGAAAGAAACGCGCGCGCAAACAAAACAGGCTAGCATGAACATTTTCGAATCAGCTCGTCGGAGCGATAAACCAAACAAAACAAAATCTTTCTTATTTTTCGTTTTTCGTATCGTTACTATTAAGTTGCATCGTCTACGATACACAAACGTGCTCAAAAGTATCAATTTCTTGTTGTGATGTTAAAAACATAGTCCAAATGCTCATAATGAAAATAAATAATGGAAACCCATATGAAATAAAAGTGAAAAAAAAGAGAAAATTGTAAGAGAAGAAAAGCGCTATTGAAACAATGAGTGTGTAACATAGATTTGTTTATGCTTGAAAAGTTTATCCTTTTTTTTTTAAATCTCATGTCAAGCCAATGAACAAACTGCATGATGACGACAATAGTATCGACTATGCGCTTTTCTTCTCAAATTCGAACCGGTCAAATATGAGTAATTGTGTAAATATTCAAGCATTTTATAAATTGTAAAAACCAGATTTTTGATTTCCCAGCTTATTTAATGCGACAGCAACTTGGATTTCCATTCGGTTCAAAATGCATGGTTCAATTCATTGTTATTTATTCAAAACAACTTCAAATCATTTTCAAATATTTATTTATCAATTCATTCGTTTGAAATTAAAAAAAAGAACAACACACGTTGCACAAACTCGTTAATTAAAGCAAAATCGAAGTATTCATTTAATCGTCGTATTCCTAATCAATTCGTTTCACTCTTTTCTAATCGTCATCAATTGTTTATATCAAACTAATTGTAAGTAATTAATTCAGTTTGCAAATCAGTTTTGCTGCCGAAGACTTGCAACAAAATCGAATTTGGGTTGTATGGAAAGACAGAAATTGAATGAGAGGGATTGAATATTTTGTCGCGATAATTATAAAGAGAAAATCTGGTTTATTCTTATTTAGAAGAAAGTTAAGTGTTGCTTTTTTTTCGCCATCATGTAAACGACAAGCTAAAACAAATTGTTCAATCAAACTAATGTAAAGTCATATTGTTTATATGGAGGGATTAAGGAAAAAGAAACAATAAAACGAAGGAAAAATACAAACGGAATAAACCAAAAGTAAATGATGTTTTTTCTTATTTACAAATTGTGACTTGATTGTAATTGATTTGAACATAGGTTCAACATAGTCTCAGCATCAGCGATGAAGGTAAGAATTCGTACCAGTAACGCAGAATATGTCCAGAACAAGCCTTGATGACCATAATTATAAAACAGATGCGATTCGGTAAATACAAAAAGAGCGAGATTTATTCAGTTTTAGGAAGTGTGATAATGATTAATTCTACAATTTGTTTTAGAAACAAGGAAAAAACTTCATGTTTGAACACAAGAGTCGAACTTCAATTATAATGTAAAGCGTATTTTTATATAAAATTTATGTTTAGAATTGCAATCGCTTTTTCGGAACAGAAACACCTTCAGCGATAGCTTCAATTTTGCGCTTCAAATTGATGCTTGGCTTGGGCTCTTCATCATCGGTATTGTTTTTATTTGATACTGGCATAGGAAGGAGGTAGCCCGGTGTTGGTGCTGGTTTATTTGAGAAATATTCCATTTTGAGTGCTTCGGTAGCGGTACATCGCTGGATTGGATACATTTTAAATAGACATTCTGCTAGCTGTAATAAATCATCACTGGCCGCTGACAGAACATGATTCAACGGCGTCGGAGGAAATTGCTTAAACTGTATGTAATCCGGTAGTTGAGAAATATCTGGCCTGCATCGCATGAAAATGATTTCATCATTAAATTGACATGTTTGAAAAAAAAAAATCAATTTTGTTCACTTACCATGTTTGTTCGGTCGGCGTTCCGAACATTGTGAAAATTCTAGTTAACTGATCGAGATCACTTTCTCCTGGCAGCAAAGGGATTCTGTTCAAACCGAAAATTTATATGAATTTTGAATTTCAACAAAAATGAAAATACAAATTACTTACCGCAGCAATAGCTCGGCCAGAATGCAACCAACAGCCTAAGCAAAAAAATGCATAAAATATAAAATAACATCAATCAGACGATTTTTCTTAAGTATAATGTATTAAATCTTTCGAAGTATTCTCAGCTTACCCAAATATCAACACCAGTGCCATATTGACGGGCTCCGAATAGCAATTCAGGTGATCGATACCACCTGCAATTAAATAAATATATATCAGCAAAAGCAATTTCTTTTTATTCGCTCCGTTAAGCCAAACGACTATGATGGTAAAATATATTATAGCCAAAAACCGAATCGAGTAATTACCGTGTGACAACTTGATGTGTATAAATACGATTTGGTGAGCCAAAGAATTTGGCCAAACCAAAATCACCAATTTTCAGTACGCCATTTGAATTGACCAGCAAATTGTTCGGTTTTAAGTCTCTGTGCAAAATCCAATTCATATGCAAGTATTCTAGCCCTTTAAGTGTCTGTAGCATGTAAGCTTTGATATTGGCCGGCGTGAGGATTGGAATTTTTGGATCTTTTATGATTACTTCCAGATCGGTGTCCATAAAATCGAATACCAGCGATACATTTGATTTGTGTCCAAACACATCGAGCAGCCCAATCACGTTTTCATGCTGCAATTCATGCAGCAATTTAATTTCACGCAGTGCCGTCCGATTGATACCATCTCTGGCCTCTTCTCGCGAACCAATTTTGATTTTTTTCACCGCAACAATGGCATCGGTTTCTGTATTGCGTGCTTTGTATACGGTCGCAAACTGAATGGAAATGAACATGGTTAAATAAATGAAATGCATCATGTAATGAAATAACATACCTGTCCTTCACCCAAGAAATCGATTTTTTCATATCGCACCGCGTGATGCATTTGAGAAGAGAAAATTAACAATTTTCGTGGTAAATTACTAAATATCACAGAAAAATATATGTTTATTATACGACTGGTCTTGTGCTGGTTTCTAAATCGTGTAAAAAAATTCAACTTGCTGTCAGTGTCATTTCGAAACTGTGAATATCCACCAGAGGACGCTCGCCGGCAGAACACAATGATTATGTTTGACAGTTGTGCCAACATAGCCAATTGTACAGTCAATCTAATTTAACAAGTCATAGTAGCAATTTCTCGATTCTTTCCTCATTCAGGTTTTTTCCGCCTTTCAAACGCAATATACAGATATTTTGATTAAACCAATATCATCGAATTTTATTTGTGAAATTTCATTTGATTCAGTTTGTTTGTGAAATGGCAGAAGGACAAGATGCAGCGAATAATATCACTATTACAGTGAAAACACCGAAAACAAAAGAATCCATTACGGTCGATGAAAATGCTGAAATTAAAGACGTAAGTACTTTGGAATGGAAATCGGCTTAATTGTATGTGTAAAAATGACACACGATAAAAAAATACTGCTGATGAATAATGTTTCTGTGAAAACAGTGAATTTTGTTTTTGTTATAATATTATAAGAGCGACATTGCCTAGAACGGCACATTATTGTATGCTACGTCAATTTAAAGAAAAAAGTTTTTTTTTCGCTTGAGAGACGTGGTTTTTTTTGAATAAAATTTCTTGACATTTCTAGAAGAAAAAAAATGACGAATATTTCATTATCATTGCATTTATGTATGGGAACTTGAACACATTGTAACATTTACTATTGCATGATTGATTTTTTTTGCGTGGTCAAATGAACGGTATTTAATTGTATTTTTTTTTTTTTTGAATTTTTCAGTTCAAGGCGTTGATTGCACCAAAATTCGAGGCTGATGTCGAACAATTGTGCTTGATTTTTGCCGGTAAAATAATGAAGGATAATGAGACGTTGAAAGAGCACAATGTCAAAGATGGTTTGACGGTGCATCTGGTGATTAAATCAAAACCGCAACCGGAACCAGAGCGGCCAGCTCGACCACCAGCTGATGTGCGTCAAACACCATTCGGATTGAATCAGTTGGGCGGTTTGGCTGGTCTAGGTGCGTTGGGCGCTGGATCGAATACATTCATGGACCTTCAGGCTCAAATGCAAAGTGAAATGATGAATAATCCGGAAATGATTCGTACAGTTTTGGATAATCCCCTTGTTCAACAAATGATGAGTGAGTAGTTTATTTATTTAACTTGATAAATCGTTTTTTTTTTGTCGTGTTTGTGTCTATAACAAATTTATATCTCTATTGCTTCTTATTAGACAACCCCGATACCATGCGTACACTTCTAACATCGAATCCTCAGATGCAAGACTTGATGCAAAGGTAAATCAAATATTTTAATGAGCGACGTGAAATTCGAAAATAATTTAAAATGGCATAAAAGATTTCACAAGTTAATTATTTCTTCTGTGTTGAAACTAAATTCAATCGTTTAAAACACTATTTTTTTTTGTTCAATAAAGGAATCCGGAGATAAGTCATATGCTAAATAATCCGGATTTACTCCGTCAAACTATGGAACTTGCTCGTAATCCTGCCATGTTGCAAGAGCTAATGCGATCGCATGATCGTGCAATGAGCAACTTGGAAAGTGTTCCTGGCGGATACAGTGCGCTGCAGCGAATTTATCGCGACATTCAAGAGCCCATGTTAAATGCTGCAACCGAATCGTTTGCAGGAAATCCATTCTCGGGCTTAGTGGATAACTCTTCGGGTACAAATCCGCAACAGGGTAGCGAGAATCGTGATCCATTACCAAATCCCTGGGCATCACGCAGTGGTGGCAATAATCGTCAACAAAATTCAACAAACGCTGCACCACAAAATATTCTCAATACACCATCGATGCAAAGTTTAATGCAACAGATGAGCGACAATCCGACAATGATGCAAAATCTAATGAACGCACCATACACGCGATCGATGTTGGAAGCAATGTCGGCCGATCCACAAATGGCCGCAAATCTTATAAACCAGAGCCCAATGTTAGCCAACAATCCGCAAATGCAAGAACAAATGAGATCGATGATGCCACAACTGTTGCAGCAAATGCAAAATCCGGAAACTCTTTCAATGCTTTCGAATCCTTCAGCTCTCGATGCCATAATGCAAATTCAACAAGGTATTTGATACATTTTATTTAAAACAAATTTCATAAAAAAATATTAATTTTTCCATCGTTTGAAATATATTTTAGGAATGGAACAATTGCGTACGGCTGCACCAGGATTGGTTGGAAATTTTGGCATTCCACCACCACCAACAGGTTTCACAACGACTTCAAATACATCAACCACTAATTCAACCACAAACACTTCAAATACAAATACGACCAGTTCAACAACACCATCGGCTCAAGCAAATCCAGCACTCTTTTCGGAATTTATGTCACGCATGATGAACGGACTTTCAACGGGAAACAACCAAAATTTACCGCCAGAACAACGGTATTCTACGCAACTAGAAACATTGGCATCGATGGGCTTTGTCAATCGAGAAGCTAATTTACAAGGTAAACACATTTAAATAGAAAATCAAAACGCAATGAAACTTTTAACTAATCTTTATTTCATTTTATTACAGCATTGATTGCAACATTCGGCGATATAAATGCTGCCGTTGAACGATTACTTGCTTTGAATCAATTATCATTAAGCTAAATTAAACAGAAACAAAAATGGAACAGATAGTGAGATAACAATTGAATAATGAACCACCTTCAAGATTAAGTGTTATGAAAAAACAATTTAGTTAGAGAAACAAATAAAGCAAAGGGCAAAGCATGGAAAATTAGGAGATAAAAGCCAACCCAATAATCCAAATGATTCAATTGTGAACGAGTGCGGACTTAAGAGGCGCAGATCAAAGTACGGGCGTGTATATTTTGTTAACATTTGTCCATCCAAGTGTGATGTGCATGCATAGCTTCACATTAACTCGGCACAAATTCACAACTGAAACCTACGGAACGCTTTCAAAATTTAATAAGAAAATATTTTGATTAAATCTATTTTCGTTTATATTATTATCCAAATTAATAAATATCCAAAAAAGGCCATAACTCTTTAAATTGTTTTAAAGCGAAACCACTCATTTGAATGGAATATTGAGAGCAAAGGTCGGAGATGATACAAAGAATTTTTTTCAGTACAATTTACCATGAATCATGCGGAAAGAGAGAGAGAAAACACTTCTATAAAAAATACAATAAATGAATGTATAGATTTAGATTAGGGGTAACTATTTACTATTGCATGAGAAGAATGGATTTAAGTTTTTTTTTTCGTTCAGCATGTAAGTGAAAATGTCCACCAAGATGTTTTTTTCTTCTAATGGTTCAATTCCGAAACGTTGTTGTAATCATTTCTCTCCCTGCCCAAAACCAAATTCAAACATTTTTTTCACCTCTCTATTTATTAGTTATTTGCACACTTATGTTATTCTCGATTTTATTGTATTATCACATTCCACGTATCTGTCAAAACGAAACAAAAACCATTATTATACAACTGCAATTTGTTCATTCAAATAGATTTTTGAATTTTCCCATACACAATAAAAAACAAAACTGGTTTACAGTAGTTTGCAAATGAATTTCTTTCAGCAAAAGCGATACCTTTCCATTTTATTGGTTTTGTAGTGCTAAGCGACTATGCTATGTTAAGATATATAATAAAAATCGAACTAAATAAATCAAAACGTGTTTTAATTGTTGACCTTGAATCAATTGACGTACATCTGAAATTCTGAATCACATTAACAACGAAAGGAAACAACGGTTCAATTTTAGAAATAACAAAAAAAAGTAAAATTTTATTAGTTTTTTTTCTCGAAATTATTAAATTTAAATTAAATATAAAGAAAAAAATCCCATGCTATTTAAATTTTCCATTGAATTTTTTTTTTCTTGAGAATCTGGCCGAAATGTTTGTTATTTTCTTTGCTTTTAAATACCATGCAAATGATCGAAAAATATAAATTTTAATTGAAATGTTCTGCATAGAAAACATAGAAAACATTGAATTGAAAATAGGAAGCATTTTTTTTTGTAAATTGATAAAGAAAAATTGAATGTGAAAGAAAAAGAATAAATGAGGTTTTTAATAATAACTGTGCTAAAACGTAAGATTACGAAAAATAAAATCGAAATTTGATAAAATTGTGAAAAAACAAATGTGGTTAAAATGTCAATAAAACGAAAATTTCGAGTTTGCATTTAGTATGCGTGAATATGTTTTCTTAAAAATGGAAGCAGTACTTTAAGTTTTCAGTGACGACCGACAGTACTTTGAATCCATTTCAAACCGAACAATTTTTTATCTCGGCATAAATTTCGAGGAGTCGAACGGCTGATTTCAAAAGACATTCTTTGTAATTCTTTTATTTTCGAGTAGCCGGAAGATGTTCAAATCCATCTTCCAATAAGTATTGAATGATAATTTACTAAATAGCCACAAATTCAATTAATTTTTCAATTCAAAGCCATGCCATTTCGAGAATCAACTGCTCTTTTTCTGCCGTTCTGTTATCAACTCGGTTGTCGGTTCTCCTTCGATTCGATTGTCATGTTCTTACGCGTGCAATGCAAACCATATACAGCTGCTGTTTCTGCGACTTGTTTTTCGTTTTCATGCAAATTAATTTTGCGTCTGACTGATAATAATTGAATTTAACTGATTATGAGACATTTCAAACACAATTTGTTCAAGCAAATGTCGGTTCATATTGCGCATTTTTTTTCAATTTTCTTTTTCTTGATTGTTTTATTTAGTTAAGTTGATATTTAGTTGACTTTTTACGTTTCGGTAGTTGTGTGCGTTTTTTTGGTGTACCACAACTCCACCTCCTCAAATTCCTTTTTCTTTGCTCCGTTTGATGTGTTTCACTACATACAGCATATTTTGTTATTTTTATTGACGTTTCACTCAGTTGAAGCATCCCCATTTGAAGTTGATTTGAATGAAATACATATGCTGCGCTGTGTGATTCGATTGAACGTACCGTTTGATTGTTTTATTCGCCATGGCCTTAAACGTAACTCAATTTCTGTATTTCCACTTGTTACTTAACACCATTCACATTTAATTTTTTAAACCCAAGCTCTGTTACGGAAAACGATTTGACGGTGGAACACCGCTGCTTGTTGCACCAAAATTTGCGCCTTGACTCTGAAAATTCCATAGAAATGGCAATTGATTTTTTAATAAAATCGAAAAAAGTATTTTTTTATGCAAAACAATTACCTGAAATGATGAATCTTGTGACAGAATATTATCCATTTGTGATTGATAGTCACCACTCATGTAATCACTAAAAAGCAGATCGGGTTGCTGTGACAAACTGAAACCAGGTTGCTGTGATAAGCTCATATTCTGTGACATTCCCTGGGTAAGCGGACTGCCTTGGCTGAATTGAGAGTTATTGGGACGTGGTTTCGGCAAAGTCTTTGATGGTTTACGACGTTGATTTTGTTGAGCCGCCTGTGCTGCTTGATTGTAGAAACGATTCATTGGGACATTTGACATTGTGTTCATGAACATGCCAACGGGTACGGGCATATTATTATTCATAGCCGCTTGTACACGATCTTGTGAAATGTAACTGATCGGATCATGATTTGGATTTCGTCCAAACATGTCGGCTGGATTTCTTTGGTAGCCTGCATTTGGCATCGGTTGTTGCATTGGCATTTGTTGTTGCATATACGGACCATTGAATCCACCCAGGCCACCATTATTTATTGCTCCATTCTTATCATAAAATGATCCGGCTCCCATTGCTTCTTTTGCATCATACATTGTATTCGACATAAAATGGGTTCCTGGATTAAAAGTGTTCACAATCTTTTTCGGTTTGGAGAATTGAACCATCGACTCTTTGAGATTATTTAGAGAACCCTCCACCAATAGTTTACGCTCTTTGTAGAAATTTAGCAAATGATTCCAAAGCGGTTGTTTTGACAATACTTTGGGGTTGCCAACAATGATTATACCGTATTTTGCACGAGTCAAAGCGACATTCAATCGACGTGGATCATTTAAGAAACCGATTCCTTGATGTTCATTCGAACGAACACAAGACATGATTATAATGTCTTTCTCACGCCCTTGAAAGGCATCAACGCTGGCAATCTCGATTTCTTGATATAATTTCGAATGCAATGAACCTTGGTACTGCATGTATTGTACCAAATATGCACGTTGACCTTCGTACGGTGTAATTATACCAATCTGGTCGGGACTGACACGGCATTTTAAGAATCTTGTTGTGATCTTTTCAACATTTGATGCTTCCGTTCGATTCAAGTACGATGTTCCCGAACCAGCAATTTCTTCTTGACCTTGAGTCACCAAGAAAAACATCGGACGATCTGGTTGCGGCCATGGGAAGTCATTTTTCATCTTTCGCTCATCAGCACGAACACCATTCTGCAAACTACCTTCATAGAAGAAATTCGAAGGGAATTGCGATAACTCGGGGTGCATTCGATATTGGACCTATTGAAATTGGTTCAATGAAAAAAAAAAAAAAAAAAAAAAACAGTATTTCTATTAGATTTCACTGAATCATTTCAGTATCATTCCTCCGTTATCTTTGTAATCTGAAAAGAAGAATACCTCCAAACGGAAAGGACGAATGCCCAAAACGACCAATCGCTCGAATAAACTTTGGGATAATCCTGCTTTTGCTGCTTTCTTGCACATAACCACTGGACCCAACTGACAGTGATCCCCAACTAAAATAAGTTGTTTGGCTCCAAGAACAACGGGTACAATACATTCCGGCTCGGTGGACTGCATACTTTCGTCGATCAAAATTGAATGGAATTTGATGCGTGACAATCTGGGATCACCAGCTCCAACACATGTACAACAAATAACGTCGGCTGCTTCCAATAATTCACGTTCGGATGTTTTCTTTAGTGCTCGATAGCGTTTTTCATCGCTCGATGAAAGTTCACCGGTTTCGTCTTTGAGCTGTTGCAGTTTTTGTAATTCCGAATTGCTTTTCATGTTTCGGATTTGATTGTGCAAAGCGAGAAAACTAACGGGCGAATCAATTGCTTCACGCGATTTTGCACAAACACGTACTACTTTCAAATTGGTTTTATGGATTTTTTCGGTAAGTTGGTCAACGGCTGTATTACTCGGCGCACAAACGAGCACAGGTCCACCATTCTGTCTAACGAGTTGATACACGATCGTTGCGGATGTTACAGTTTTTCCAGTACCTTGAAAAAAAAAACAATACATTTTATTGATAATATAGACTCATATCAAATCTTTATATTTCAAATGTGGTTGTATCACGTTATAGGAAAAAAACACCTTACCAGGTGGACCTTGAATCAAGCTAAGTGGGCGCTGTAGTGCATGCTTAACGGCATACACTTGCGATCGATTCAAATCGGGTAAATTTGGTGCACTGAAATGTTTTGGCAACGATTGATTACGGAACGTAATCTCATCGGATCCATCCTGTCTGCCATGGCCGAGTAAACGTGAATAGATGTAATTCGAAACGGAATTTTCGTCAACCGCAAATTTATTCAAAGCATACTGCATTCTGTCAAACGATGTCCCCTTCCAAATGAAATCAATAACAAAATTGGATGTGCATTCAATCGGAGCGCTGGCACTGTTTTTCAACTCCAAACCAACATCATCGCCATAATTATCCGGAACTTTAAGAAAAACGAACACAAAAAGATATTAGAAAATGTACAAAATGTTGGTTTTATCAAAGGTACCTTTGATGACGTGTCCAGTGCTAGACCATGCTTTATGCATTTCTCCGACGTATGACAAACGTAGTTCGTCACCATGCATCAGCTTCATATCGCCGTCACTTTTGGCTAGTGTGAAAAACGCGATGGTTTTCTTATTCAAACCAACGTCCCAGCGAACTTCGATATTCTCTTGTGTTTGAGACTCTTTCAATCGTTTATCGTACTCAGCTTCTAAGCGAACCAATGGACCAAATACTTTTTGATATTGAAAACCATCTTCATAGCGAAGTAGCACTTGTGCTGGCTCTGTATCAACGCCGGGCTTTTCGAGATCTTGAAATGTTGCATCGTTGTTCTCCTTCCAAATGTCTTCCAGCTTATTTATTTGACTTGCGGAAATTTGTCGGGCTCGCATTTGATCTTGTTCGGTTGGAACTTTAACCAACCAGCTTAAAAAGCATCGATCCGATATGAGTGGTTTCCATTGTTCTTGGTCCCAGCTCATATCTTTGAGTGAACTTTGAGCGGCACACGGTTGTCTGCACAGCAACACAACGACCGAATCGGCTTTGGCCGGTATAAAACCCAAAATGAACACATTCCGAACACCACATGAATAGCATTCCAAAACCGTTTCGCCAAGTGGCCCATCGGAGTGAAGTGTAACTTCACGGTGCTTTGCACGAACAAGATGATTTACAATGTGCGAACCGGATGTATTTCCTCGTGCATTGCAAAACCATTTTTTGCAAATATTACACATGACAACGGTACTTGGCTCATGTATACCGCAATATTTGCATGCATGTGATGGTAATTCTTGTACTTGTGTCACCGCATCATCATCTTCTTCTTCAAATTGCAATTCGGCCATTCCGCCCGAGATAATTGCCAACTTTTGATTTGTGCTGTCATTTCGTTTACTTGTACCAACTCCATTCAACTGGAAATAAACCGAATAAAACTGCTTAGTAAACATAACCTGCAAATTGTGCTTCACATTCAAAATGTTTCGTCATGTTAACATTGACGAAATCATGATGAAAAAAACAAATCATATACAAAAAGTTTTTTCAGCATTTTTTTGTTGTCAACCAATTCAAATTTTGATGATTCATTGAAACGAAATGGTTTTCAGTTCTAAATGTAAAGATGGAATTTACCTGACTCGATCCCCCCGTCAAATGATCCAATTGTGAAGCTTGAGTTTGACTTTGTGATGGAATGGTAAAATCACGAAAGTCAAAGTCCGTGCCCTGTGTATCGGCTCCACCGATCAGTTCATGTTCTTCAGTATCCAAAAATGTGAGCGTCTGCGAGCTCGAACCGTACGCATCAACACTCATTACTGCTCATGAAAATTGTAGCCGTTCGTAGCTATTTGTTGTTGTTGTTGTAAATGTGCAAATCACTTTTATAAAATCAATTTGTATTGACGTCGTGTAGCCAAAAACGAATCGCCTTCTTTTATTTCAACAATAATAATGCATGCACATCGATGAATTACACAACAAAATTATCATTGAAATGTACTTAGCCTGCCTCGCTCAATATACTGCAGCTCGTTGCCACAATACAAAATGTATAATTTTTTTCAAGTTTCGTTTGATTCTTTTCGCACTTGTCTCCACATTTGTTGCAGGCAATAATACTCAAATCACGATAAAAAAGACCAATTATCGTTTTTGCTGAATATTTTCCAAAACAATAACAGCAAAAAGGGTAAAAACGATCGATTCCTTCTCCGTTTTTTTTTTTGTTGCGTATAAATTGAGTTGAGTTGGACAATAGTATTAAATGTGTGCGTACTTTGTATTTTATCACGTAGATCTTTACTGTGTATTGCTATTTGACTGCACACGATTTCGCACTAAATGGATGGCGCCATACTCGTTTTCCGTCTACGGTTGACGTTTCATGTTAGGTATTTGACAGTTTCTGGCGAAATATTCAATCGTTCACATCAACGTGGCGGCGAAATCGAATGCCACATACTGCCAGCTGTCAAAGTCATTCCAATATCAGAACGTATATTCAAAACAAATTCAATTCTGATTCATTTAAAGCATGTTCAACAACCATTGCCAACTTAAAACCAATCTGTAATGTGAACTTATGAAAAAAACGGCGAAACGTATTGGAATATAAGGTTTTGCTTAACAGACGTTTTTTTCTTCTTCTTTTTATTATTTTTTAAAAATGGAAACCCAACAAAATCCAGAAAATATATTAATAATGCAAAACGACTTTACACGTTTTATTTTCTCAAAAAAAAAGAAAAAAAAAATTGTGCGTACATCAAAAAAAGCCGCAATCTAGCTGTTTACATATGATAACGCGCGTTGTCACAGTTTGAAGAGATGAATCATTGGTAAATAACGCAAATGGTAATTTATGGTGAGCAAATATAAACAATTTTTACGAAACACGACTATTCAATTATAGTGCTATGTATTGCAATCAAATCCATAATATTCCATTAACATGATAAGATTTTAACACTTTTCGACATGATGATAAAATGCAATTTGAATGAATGCAATCAACGGAAATGGACATACGAATAGAACAAATAATGCATACAGCAATTTAAAGTCTATGTATTGAATATGATCTCTACATAGCATTGAAATCACAGACATACCCAATTTGTCGTCAAAAAGTCTATTTATTCAGTCAAAATGCAATAAATTGGTATCTCAAATCGTTGACAAATTAACAAATAAGCATAGCATGTGAAATGACTGTGGAGTTGAGACACCTGTCTTGTTATTGGAGTCGATAACATCGACACTGATAAGAGCCGCCTCTGTTGTGTTCCGTCCAGAAAACCAATTCGTTTGTACTGCTTTGCATACTACTACGTATAACAATATCAACAAAGCGTTGTTGTATTGAATGAATCTGTTGTGTGCGAGCAATTCTCAAGCACATTTCTTATGAAGTAATGATGTGTTGTTTGATATACGTATTGTTCGGCACGCTGGTTGAGGATAAAAAATAAATGTTCAGATTTCAGTCTAACGTGGATTGTGAATGGAATCGGACTGGACATGAACATTTGTTTTTTTATTTCACCGAACGTTTTTTTATTTAAAAGAAAACATTAAAGTGTTTAAAAGTGATAGATCGTTGGGAAAGGGTCAAAATTACTTTAAAATTTTAAAAATAATCTTTTTCTACAATACTAACTAACGTTAAACGTAAAATGGACTAATTATACACTTTTGTGATGCTTTTTCTTTAAAAAATTTTTTGTGTGATAATAATATAAAGTTAAAGTAGTTGAATTATAGTAGCTGGAACAATGAAAATTAGATAAATCAAATGTATTGAAATTTTTTATCGATTTAACTTCAATCATTTAAGTTTGTCTATATGAAGACGAAGTAATTATTTTGGATTTTTAAAATTGTTTTAAAAGACACTCAAATTAAAGGGCGATAGGAGTGTTCAAAACTTTGTATTTGAAAAGTTCGAGTCGCAGTATAATTTCCTTTAAAATATATCAAAAACTTCAAGCGTGGATAATCAAGCTATCTATATCATTTACAAGCTTACGTGAAAGGGTTCTGATAATCACTAACTATACTACACGAAGGTAAATGTGAATATTTTTATACCGATAACTCCAAAAAATGTTATTTTTGGCAATTGAACCACTTTTTTGTCCAGCATTCTTTAAACAAAAAATTAAAAACTTATCTTCATTCATTACATTAGATGTTTGCTCCATAATTTTTTTCATAATTGTATGAAATAAAGAAATCTGTTCAAATTTCAAGCCGCAAAAAAATTTACCGTGCTATTTATCAAAAGGTATCAATGAAAAAAAAAAAAATTTGCCAATGTCAGTGTGAGATTCGTTCACTGATTGGCGTTGAATATGTGGCTCAATAGGCTACAAGAATGTTTTGTTTTCATTTCAATTTAATTTTTAGCACTCATATACTAATATTATTAGAATGCTCTTGTGAACAATGAAGTGATTCATCTGACGTGATGAACGAATATTCCTTCCAGACTCAATTAGTTAATATATGACGATCGGGTAACAAGTTAACTGCGATTGAATAGACTGAATTGTATGCCAAAATACCGCGACAAATGTAAACATTTCATTGTTTTACGATGCAATTAAAATGACTATCAGCGTTGCGAAAAGTTGATATGATTTTTGTTTGTCCATGTCGGCTATTTGGTAGAAAGATAAGAATAACTCAATGTTGACTGTTTAATATTCATAAAAATGAAAATATTCTTTCTATCATATATTCTCGTTTCGCCAAGGCTAAGAAAAATATTTAAAGTCTGTTTGAAATGGTCCAAGCTTTTCTATGCATAAAATATTTTTCCATTTATTTGAATTAAATATTCTACATTACTTTATAGAAACGTCATTTAAAATTTATATCTGCTTTCAATAACTAATAATTCATAGAGTTGATAGGTAAAAAAAACGCTTGGCCAATGCATAAACATAGTCGTCGTCCTTTGTTTTGAACTTCGAAGTTAGACGACTTTTCCCATGACACTGAGAACTTCTGATCATTTTCTCACCGGCAACAATATTATATTATGGATACGACCGAAACCGACAAAAAAAAACGAAATCGACTCGGCATGTATGAAAGACTCGTATGATGGATAGTCAAACGTTTCAAGAATTTCAAAACTACGATACTATCAAAATGGACATAAATCGTACGCACAATCGTGTGTCGTGGTTAAAAGGTTCATTTGATAGTGCCAAGGCCGAGTATTTTCCTTATTTGTATTTTTTTTCAACGATATGGATTGATTTTGATTTTGAACCGATAACATCGGCTTCGGCACACGCGGCACTCACAAATATGGATAATTTACAATCAAAATTGAACGAATAAAAAAAAAACAATTTAATGTGTTTTCCAATAATCGAAATATTTTACAATATTTTGGTATCATTCGAACTTGAGTTAAGTTGACAACCGCTTATTTGGTTTACATTTTTAAATTTTCTCACTCCGCATCACATTTCTACGACTTCATCGTACAAATTGACAGCTTCAAAATCACGGCACGAGGAGATTATAATAACTTTACACAGAATTTGTATCATTGTATGGTAGATAATTTACCGTTGGCTTGTTTGTGCGATTGTGCTGGCACATGGCGCAGTAATGTGTAATGTATGGCGGGATATACGTTTCGATATGAATAATTCAGGATGAAAAAATTTATTGGTTGTCTTGATATTGCACCCGAGTCATGGGTAATTTTATCAGACTTTGTTTTGCATGAAGCGTAAGCTAATAAACATGCGAACCCGCAATGTTGCATTGCCCTTGTGACGTTTTCAAATTATTTGAATTGGTTAATATGAATTTGCGCACATTCCGAAAATAAATCGAATTCGTTTCAAATTGAAAATGAACACATCGATCTCGTGATTATTGTTATTGTGATCGATTAACATTGAAAATTGTTTGAATTACATATATATGTTGTGCGTTTCCCATTGGCGTTCAGCAGAAAATCGGGAACCAAATTGAAGGTTTACCGACGTAAACAATTTAAAGAGTAATAATTTACTATGCTACGCACTTTTGTAAACAAGCACGCAAAGTCAAATGGCTAATCGCAATTTTATCTTTTCTTCCTCCCATTTCGCTCTCGAGTCTCGACTCGATAAACGGTATGTACGGCTATGTTTTTTTTTATTTCAAATAATCGGTCATTGTATGCAAACAAATTAAATACATATTATAATGGCTACTACATGATTAAAGTAGATACCTATTTTTTCCAATTCTGAATAGACATGCGGCATGCCGATCATTTTTCAGACATTGAAATCAGAATATTAACAGGAAATCGATGCAAACCATTAATGCTCCATTTATTTGTTTTATAAACGATAGCAAAATGACAACGTCAGTTTGTAAATGTTTTGAAGGTTTTCCGAACGTCAATTAACTACGAATCAAATAAGAGAACAGTTGTGCATTTTTGATGGTTTTTCTTCGAGTTTTCAAAAGTTCGCTACCAAAGGATTCGTGTAGAACACGGACGATACCGTTACCATTACAACGTATTCAAATCGATATAGTGAAGAAGCTTTACACTCCACTTGACACAGTACACAGTGGAGGTAAAGCTATTCATGACAAACAGACAATTCTAAAAAAAATACCATCCAATGGCACGGTTCCAAATATTTTTTTTTCGAATAAAGGACTTATCGATTAATTAACACCTCTATAACAAAATTAAAAATGGATATACTTATATGGAGACAAGGTGCATTTTTTCACACGGCTGCTCAAGTTTAAAAAATCTTTACTGGTGCTTATAGATCTAGTTATAGATGCTTTGAATGATTCAAACATAATATATGAACGTTGAAGTCCTTGTAAGAATTGTTAATTCTGTTAATAGCTTTAACGCTGAGGATTTAAGCAATAGACATTCTTCGTACCACTGGAAAATAAAAGCAAGTTAATCTCGTTGATTGAGTGATGTAAACCGTTTGAATTTTCAATCTTTTTCTTCTTCTTTTTAATTTTCAATTATCAAATCATATCTACCCTTTGGCTGATTTCAGATCAATATTTGTGAATTAATAATAAAAAGAAAATAAAACCACAAAACATTTGTCGAAAAATATTCAAAATCAATAGCGAATATTCTTATTCTTCTGAATGTATTTTTCATTTTCCCTTTTAAAATTTACCTTATGCTAAAGTAACGCGGACCTTCTTCGGCCAAATTTGAAAAAAATGCAGGATAAGCTTCAAAAAGACAATTACCAGTGAAAAATTACAACCGCCTGTTTTGAGGCCATTTTTAATTAAAATTATGCTTATTAATTACGTGTACTTATGTGTAACAAATTC